GTTGTTACGTGATGGGATGTCTGGGTAATTGCTTCTGGGGCTTCCCTGGGGCAGTGAGGGGTGATACAGGGCGAAATTTGCCGGGTGAAGTAACTGCTACCTCACTTACGGTATATTTTGACACAAACAGTTTTTGCATGACACCTTAGCTCCCTAACTTTTCTTGTTGACTAGTTGAAAACCCCGAACAATGCATAATTGGACAAAGTGAGGCAGCTGAAGAGCAGTAGCGATGAGCGAAGTTTTGTAAGTGATAACTGAAGCAGTGCTACAACTTAAAAATTCCAAACCCAGCCCCCAGGTATGCTCCTAGGTCACGTGCGGTCCTGTGAAAGTTTTGGCGGGAAAATTGTGCGTTGTTCCCTCGTATGGTGGTTCCGTGAGGGTTTCTGGCGCGAAAATCACTAACATGGGAACCAGGAAGACTGGAAGGCTGATATTTTAAGGGGATGTTCCCGGACCACGTACAACTTAAATATCTCAAACCCAGCTCATGGAAATGGGGATTACTTGAATTTGATGCGTCTTTCTGTTCGCTGAGCCAGAAGTGCTTGCCCGACAAGTGTTAGGTCCCCACGTGGTCTTTGACTGCAGCAGCGGAAGACAGCAACGAGTGCCAAGCACTTTATTCCCAACAAAAGCTTATCGTCAATAAAACGACGAGCCAGGGCGCCGCACAAGCTAATCAGCGAAAGGAGGGCGCCAATCGTGTCGAGACTGTCAGTTAATAGCGTTAGTTGTGAAAGGACATGGCAGACCAGTGACGCGCGTTGATTCCGAGACTAAGGACCTGGGTTTTCGGAAGGGGTTTATATAGGGAAAATTAATGGAGGAAAAAAGAGGCCAAGACAGTAAGTGAGAAGATAGGTAATATGGGATTATTTAGGATTTGGTGGAGCTGTTAGAAATTAGTGAGTGGAGCGAAGTGGGTCGAAGGATTAGTGATAGGAAGGGAATGGGTCGAATTGTAGGGTTACAGTTAAAACAGCGCTGCTCTGCGACTGTGCAAAAAGGCACTGGCGGGCCTGATGCTTGCCGATACTGTCTATACTTTGTGACTGAATCCGATGATTGGTGTGGTGTTCGGTGTTGAGAGATTCGGGTTCGCTGGGAAGTTGCTGCTGGATGTTCCACATCTGTGCCTGCAGGTTTAGCGTGTTGCAGCTCGGAGAGATTTCATCAGTGGAGCTAAGCGATTGCCGGGAGCCAGCAATGTCTACAGCATCAGCTGTGCAGCGCCGCGAACGAAGGCGAGAGCGTATAATGCAGGATTGCGATAAGCGCATCAGATGCATTCTGAACGGGCCGGATGGATGTTAGTTGTTTTTCACTTCCTTTATTCGATACGCTGTGGTTTCACACAGACCCTAATTGCATTTTATCGAAAATATAAAAGTGTTGTTGGATTTAGCGGAAGTGCGCAGTGCGCCTGCGCTGGAAGGTGGCGAAGGTTTTGCGAGCGTCTCACACGCCTCAGTGGCGCCCATCTCCACTGCTTCGATGCCGTCGAGGTATCTTTTTAAACTGACCTCTGCTGGTACTGTGTTTTGTCTGGCCCTTTTATATGTAAATTTTTCCTCCTAGTGCACTCGCTTCTGATTCTGTTCCATCCGCTGCGAATTGCATTTTCCCGCGCAGTTTCACGGCGAACAAAGGAAGCAAGAAGGAAGCTGCGACAGCTGGCAGTTCATTGATGACACGTATCTCTGCGCACTTCTATCGAAGCCCGCTTTCGAGGGCTTTCGTTGCTGGTATGTTTCGTGAGCTTTTGCTTTGGTCTAATTTTTCAACTGTTTTGCCTGATTCTGCTGCTTCCTACCTTCTCGCCGTTGGAAACGGCTCGTGAGGTTCGGCAGATGGCAGGGAATTGTTTTCGTAAATCGTAAGAGTGCTGTAAAATCTTAAAAAATCTACTTCTATTGTGTTTATCTCACTTTTCTTTGCGAAGAAATCTAGAACTGGTGGCACATGCTAAAGAAACCTGTGT